CAGAAATAGCAAGTTTTGCCATGAAGGGTTTAAGGGATCGCTCACTGGAGCTGCCGAAGAAGAGTTATTGGCAGAGCAAGGTGCTTCCTGCGGCCGCGTTCCTCGGCGTTTCACCAAGGAGCAGCCAACGCCGGCTCCCGGCTGCAAACGGTGGGTGACATAAAGGTTGGCGAGGGGAGAACAGGAACGAGGACAGGATAACGTGAGAGAGAGCAACTAGGTCAACTGGTTAGTTGGGTCCATCCAAACTGCGTTTTAGTCCAAGGAAATGCAAATTTAAGGGTCCAGGAATGAAGCCTGATAAACACCACCTGCCTGGTGGGGACCCGGATCCTGGAAAGCGTGACTAGGGAGAGGCAAGCCGCACTTTGGTGTGGCCATCCTCAGGGAAGTGACGACCCAGACCCCACCGGGGCCTGTAAGCCCTGCGTGCAGCCAGGAGAGGACTCGCTCCCACTGAACAGGGCATCCACAACAGCTACAGCTTGGAGACACAATGTGGGACGTGGCAACTGAGTCTCCGGAGGATGGAACATCCCGAAGGGCTGATCTCACAGGCCCTGCGGTTGTGGATTTGGGTCTGGTCAGCACGGACCCGGCCCTTTGCCCAGAAGGGCTGGGACTCAGCCGGACGCTCCCGCAATGCCCAGCGTTGGGAATGCGCGTGAGCACGTCTCGGAGTCTGATAGAGGAGATGGGCTGGTGAGCAGGAGCGGGGCAGGTGGGAAGAGCACACAACCCCTTCTGCTGAGCTGAGGTGGAACCTGCCAGATGTAAAACGAACCACACGCAGCGAGTAAGAGCTCTGAGCACAAAGAGCTGTTGGCCAGGCACGTCAGCTGCGAAGGGGTTGGGGACAGCAGAGTTGACCTTCCCCAGAGAGATGGATTTTAGCCGTGGAAGCATGCTGGTTTTGGCTAGGACGGAGTTAATTGTCTTCGTGGTAGCTACCATGGGGCTGTGGTTCGGATGTGTGCTGAAAACAGCGTTGGTAACGCCGGGACGAGCAGCGCCAAGGTCTTTTCTGCTCCTCACCCCACCAGCGAGGAGGCTGGGGGGCACAAGGGGTTGGGAGGGGACACGGCTGGGACAGCTGACCCCAACTGACCAAAGAGATATTCCAGACTGTATGGCATTGTGCTCTGCATGTAAAACTCGGAGGGAGGGAGGGAAGGAACGCTGCTCAAGGACTGTCTGGGCATTGGGTGGTTGGCGTATTCATTGCATCACTTGTCTTTCTTGGGTTTGTCTCTTTTTGTTATTTTCCTTTTCATTACAATTCATTATTATTATTATTATTTCAATTATTAAACCATCTCAGGAGTTTTCTCACTTTTCCCCTTCCAATTCTCTCCCCCATCTTGCTGGGAGGAGGGAGCGAGTGGCTGCGTGGGGCTCAGTTACCGCTTGGGGTTAGCCCCAACAGGAATATGGAAGACCTGTGGCGTGAGTTCCTAATACGCCATAAACTCATCTATCTACCTGTAGATAACCTGGGAACTAAAGTTCTCTTCTCGTCCAGACACCAAGGTGAGAAGCCCCGTGCTCATCGGCTGAGGGCGAGTGCTCCAGCGCCGCGGGGGTGCTGCTCCCTGCACGCCTGTGCTCCGCACCAGGGCTACGGGCACTCCCTGGAGAATATCCCACTTCACCCCAGGAGCCTCCTGAGGACAGGCACAGCCCCTGCTGCTGCCTCGTTCTGGCAAGGGATGGGCCACAAGCTCTGCTTACCTGGATGCCCAGGGAGGAAACCCTGGACACCACGCTCCGTCCCGCCGAGGTCCTCGGTGAAGTTCTGCTTGTGCAGCGGAGCCAGCAAGGGCCGAGTGCTCTTCGCCACTCCAGGGTCGGTCAGCAGACGGTTCGTGGTTTTGCCAAATGTCTCTCCGAACCGATAGTTGTACTGAGGGATGAAGCCCCCATACCTGCGAGGGAAACCGAGCGAGAGCCGTCACTGAGCTGGCACGGGAAGGTGCCCACAGGAAGGAAAACCTGCTTTAGAGCTTCTGTCCGCTGGAAAGGCCATGGCCAGGAGCACACGCTGCTTGGAGCACACCAGCCCAGGGAAGAGCATCGCACAGGGATGCACTTATGCTGCGGGAGCAGCGGCGCAAGGGGAGCGCCGAGAAGGTGCGTGTGGTTACGCACGGTGGGGCAGGTGTGCACATGCGTGTTTTCACATGTGAGCATGGAAACTGGCTCACAGATGTACAGGCGTGTGTAGGCACAGGCTGACGCTTTGGCTCACATCCGAACATGGGACAAGGTCCGTGCTGAGGCAGCACCGGGGGGTGGGAAAGCTTGTGGTGGGAGCACAGCGGGGGCTGCGGCAGCATGGACCTTGAGAGACCCACAGCTAAAATATTTGCAGTTAAACAGGCTTTGGTGTTGACTTTTGCAATCCCTCTCTGTTCTAAACCAGAGAGTTACTGGGAATTTCCCAGTGTCCCTTGTTCAATACCAAAACTCAGAAACCAGAAAAAGGCCTCCAGGCCTCGCTGCTCCGCGCCCTTGTAGTGAGGGTAGGGGCAGGCTCACGAGCCCACCCAGGAGCTGCGTTCCATGGCAGAGGTGTGCGCGGGCAGCTGCCTGGTCCCAGGAACAAACACCGCTCAATTTTTTCGGGACCTTTGTGCGGGGTGTGCAGCAACACGCTGCTTCACCACTGCCTGGGATGGGCACTTGGGCTTTTTGGTGGCTCAGGGCAGGGTTGGTGCTGGAGCCCTGGCCCGGATCCCGAGTCCACCAGTATGGATCAGAAGCTTTAGCTGTTCCCAGTGTCAAGTTTTCTACAAATGATGTGATTCTACCATAAGGAAGAAAGGTAGAGGGGCCGGTTGCCATGTACAGATGGAAATATTCCGTCCGTGATCCCACTGCATATCTGGGGATAAAGCCCAGATGCATGAGGATCATCAGACGATGAGTAAGTGCTTTCTCTTCCAAAAGCTTTGAGCACCAGCGAGCAGAGCTGTGCATTTGCACTTGGCAAATCTTCCCACTTTGCATGCAGGGTCTCTCACTAGCAGCTGCCGGAGGAGCTCCGTGGCTCATCCCCGTTGATTTTCTGAGTGTCTTGCAACACAGGGAAGCTACACCGGGATGATAAAGCTGAACAAGAGTACAAGTGACATCGCCTGGATAACCACAGGATGGCTGGAGGGGTTTTGATGATGAACAAAATAATGGTAGGGCTGAGAAAGGGTGCAATTCATCAGCAATTAAAAGCGAGGTAATCGGAGGAGCTCGGGCGAGTCAGACTGGGTTTATGGGGAAGGGATCTGCCCTGGAAGAGAATTACAAGTGCTGCTGATAAAAGCCACGGTCTGACTTTCTCCTGCTTGTATTTTAAGAAACCAGAGATCGCCATTGCCATAGCTCACACTGAGCCACTGGAGCTGCCACTCTCCAACCTCACTGGCGAGCAGCGAGTAACCTGCTTCCCCCAGGTTCACTTTTCCCTTACACAGCCCCTCTCTTCCCCTGCCACTCCCCAGACTGCGTCTCCTACACCTGCTCAGCCTTCCCCATGGCCAGGGAAGAGCCTTGGCCCTGGGCCTGTCCTCGCTCTGCTCCACACCCTTCCCAGCTCCGCCAACCGGGACGGGGCGGGCAGGAATCATCAATTTACCCCTTCTCCATGCACCAAGTCCTTCCCAAACTGTCCCACATGTTGGGTTTGGCTTCCCAATGCTCCTGAGCACTGCGGTGGCATTTTCAAAGCCCTGGCTGTGACTGCTGCCTGACCTGAGTGACAGCCACCAGCTTTGATGCCCTGTGTTTGCGGATTCACCGACACGGAACACGGGATCACTGGTGAGATGCTGTGACGTGGCATCTTCCTCCTCCTCCTGCTGCCAGCACCCTGGCACAGGGCTGCCAGCAGCAGAGCCTGGGCTCCTGCGACACCCTCCAGGCAGCTCCTCCTTGCGCTCAGCCCAGACTCAAAGCAGCAGCTTCACCACCCAGGGGCTTCCTCCGGGGCTACGAGCCTGCGCATCACTGCCGAAAGCGGTGCCAGACTTGGGTTCCTCCTGCCTTCAGTGACAGAAGAGGAGCAGCCCCAGCTGCTGTCGGAATTCGGGCTCGAAGCTGCTCCTAGAGCAGGTCTCTGCAGGCAGGAGCGAGCAGGGAAAGGCTTGGCGGGTTTTGGAGGTGCAAGCGCAGCCGCAGCTCCCTCCTTCCCGTGACTTGGCTTTCCCAAGCCTTGTCTGCATGGAGCTTTGACAGGGTGACAGACATGGAGTAACCCAGCGCATCGCTCAGTCACGGCAACGCAAGAACGTGCTCAAAGCCCCAACACCTGAGCTTATCCAGGGCTGGAAGATCAGTGATAGAAAAACCCTGCACGGTGCCCTAACGGGGACTGGCACGGTCACCGTCGCAGCATCGTTACGGAAGGCAGCGAGCTCCACCCTTCACCTGCAGCTTGGGATCTGCCTGCCTCCTGCCCAACCTGGTGCTGCACCCAGTTCTCCCTGCGCTGAGGCAGCCTGGTCTGTCACCAGCCCCTCCACCCCGGGGGGTCGTCCTGGCGCCTTTGGAGTTACCCTCGGGTTGGACTAATCCACGTGATTTTGTACCAGCAGCAGCTTGTTTCCCCTCAGGCCCATTCACACATGTCACGGGGCACCCGGAGACCCCCCGCACAACTCCTACTTCCCCACGAAGCCCATCTGCTCATTTCTGTTGTCGTGCCCTGCCTTTTAACCAACAGCTCATTACCTCTTACCCAGGACAGCTTGGATTCTTCTTTCCAAGCCTTTAGGGAAGGGTGATGCAAAAAGCTTTGGAAAAAACAAATGTAACTGCACATCAACTGGATCACCAGGATCCATGGAGTCACTGACTTTTCCAGCGAGCTCGCTCCGGCAGCAGGACTGCGCTCCAACCCATTGGACGAGAGCGTGGCCTGTCTGTGCAGCGCTTGCCCAGAGGAGATCCTCCAACATCCTCGATGCAAAAGTTAGGATGGTGTGGAAGCCAAACGCTGCACAGCAGCCCAGTAACATCTGGCAGCTTAAAATATGGAAAAGAAAAAACAGGGGTGGGGGGGGAACCCCACAATTTTTACTTTACTCTCCATGCACCGTGGCACGGTCTTTAATTACACCCTGCTATAAGGTGGTGCTTCTTATCCTGGAGCCTCGTCTCCCTTGGAGCACTGTCACATGGAATATTTCACAGTGTTTTTAAAAACCCAAAATACCACGAATCCCACATACTACGTGATCCCAACCGGAGCGATTTGCACTGGCAACGAGGAGGCATTTTGGATGAACTTCAGAACTCACCCAGGGATATGGTAGGGATTGGGAGGGAAGAGGCTGTTTTCCTCCCGGGCAGCCATGGCAATGTGGCAACTCGGGGTGGGGGTGTGGGAGGTAGGAGATGCAGTTGCCGGGGAAACCTCTATGATGCCGCCGGAAGTGACATCCTACCCCGACAGCGCTTCAGCTGTGATGCGCGACTTGTCAGGTTTTTCTGGTCTTTTTTTATCCCACCTGGAAACTTTGGATGAGCAGAGCGATTTCACAGCATTTATCCGGTCTGCTGAGCGCTCAGCCCGCGGGACAGCGGCGCTGGCCGTTGCCTCCGAGCAGCCCCGGCACAAACAGGCCTTTGCGCCGCAGCTCACGTCCCAGACGGGAGAGCCTGGCTGTGCGTGCCCTGGTCACTGGCACAGCCCACGGCCAGGCCAGCGCTGTCCACACACCCCCCTTCCCGTCGGGAACCCCAGGGCAGAGGGTGGGCACTCAGCACGCTGCAGGGGAAGGCTCAGCTCTCCTCTCCCTGCTCCTTGTTGCCCGCTGTTTGAGGATGCAGTCCTTCCCTACCTTGCTTCACACAGGGTAAAGGTCATTCCCAACATCATACATGCAGGGTTTCACCCCCTCCAGCTGAAGGCAGGCCCAGGACGCAGCTCTCCTGGCTGCTCACACGCCACGTCCTCAAGTCAGAGGCCTCTCAGCCCAGCAGCGCTCCCACCCACCACAGCACCGGCAGCGAGCTGCTTCACCGCCAAAGTCCCTCCACGGCCTCGAAGAGCTCGGCCGCACGGCTGGCAGATTTTAAGCTTTCAAAGCTACTAACCATAAATCAGAGCATTCAGGGGTTGTTTCACCAGCTTAGGTGCCTATACTCCACCCAGAATTGTATCCAAGGAGAAAAAATGTTGCTTTGACTCCTGCCCTTGGTGCCTAAACACTTTGGGAGACCTGGAATTTCCAGCCTTTGAGTTTGCCCAACAGCCGGGCTCGACCCGGGGGCAGAACTCTCCAGCCACCCCAGGTCTGCCGGGCAGGTGGGTCCGATGGCCCTTCCCGGCAGCGGAAGACCCAGAGGCAACAGGCACAAGGAGAACAAGGCGAAGGCCCACCGGACACAAGGAGACAGTTCTCCCACGGGAGCGGCACAGCCCTGGCACACAGTGGCATCTCCATTCCTGGAGATGTCCAAAGCTCGGCTGTGGAACACCCCCAGCGCGGCCTCAGTCTTAGCTCAGCTTTGAGCAGGCAATTGGATCCGAGACGTACCAAGGTCCCTCCCGGCCTAGATCTTCCTCCGCGTTGAAGAACAGCATGAAAACAATCGCTTACTGAAACGCAGCCCCCTATTCATGGCACAGAACAACGATCCCAGGCTGCTCCAGATCCCACCAGCCCCCTCTGCTCCTGAGGAAGCTCAGGCCACCCCTTCCCAGCCTTCCAGAAACTCCCTTCCAAGCTCCCTCCTTTAAACAGCTTAAACCCACCCCCAGCCAGTGGCTGCTCCTCCCAAGCCTGGGGGTCACACACTCACCAAACAGGCACTCGCTAATCAGACCAAAACACCCGTCCTCAGTGCAGACACCCGGCTAAAAAGAGAGCAGGAACCTGTCAAGGTTATCATTAGAATTTATTGATACGAGAGACACTTCGTATGTCAACATGTCAATGGAGGAACAGCACGTCCTGACGTAACGCAAGTACAAAGCCCGCTCAGGGGACGTTACAGCACCCGGGTACCTCTCAGCTCCACGTACAGGAGACCACGCAGGCGGGCGGCTATTACCTGGGAATGTTTTCTGGGACAGGACAGAAACACGGTTTGCCAGCACCAGCAGGGACCACACCGGCACTTTGCTCCCAGCGCCCGGCTCCAGATGGGGTGCACACGCGCAACGGCAGCTCGTCCTGGGCCCCCCAGTCACGGGATAGAGATTTATCTACTTGGGGGACAGATTCGCCTGAGCCCGTGTACTGCTTGCAGGGAGATGGGATGACTTGGGCCCTCTGGCTCTTTTTCCCATACAGGGGGGCTCAGAGGACAATGACGGAGATGCCCACACATGGCCAGGGGAACCCCATGCCGGGTCTGCAGCAGGACAAGCCGGGCACGGTCCTGACGAGTGAGCTGCAACCGGGACACTTCACGATGGAGCTCGTTCTGCCTGCGGAGCGGACAGCCGTGCCACGCTCTGTCCTGGTGCCTGCCAATTCAGAAGCAGGGTTTTTTCTTTCAGTGTAACAATTATTTTGTTATTCAAACTGTTATGACTCTCCCTCTATCAGCAGCACCCTCTGACAGAGCTCGTAGCACAGCCAGCCGTTCACAGAGTCACAGCATGGTTTGGG